GAGAGAGAGAGAGAGAGACGGATGCTGCATGCTTTTGTTCTTATGTCGCTTCCTGCTTAGCTGTTAGGTGTTTGCTTGTGTTTGGGTTTTAGTCGTGAAGCTGTTTCAAGGCACCTAATTGCGTATTCGTCGGTTTGCTTACTTGTGGCAGACATGCATAGAAAATGTGTGTGTGTGTAGATGCGGTTATGTTGTTGTTTGTTTGGTTGGTTAGTTGCTTTGTTTTCTTGCTGCTTGGCTGGCTGGCTGGTTGGTTCGTTGGTTGGCGGGTTGGTTCGTTGGTTGGCCGGTTGGTTGGTTGGTCGGCGGGTTGGTGGGTTGGTGGGTCGGNNGTTGGTTGGTCGGTTGGTCGGTGGGTCGGTTGGGTGTGGGTGGGTGGTTGTTTGGGTGGGTGTTTGTTCTTGTTCGTTTGCTAGACTCTAGAGGGCAAGCCATAATCCTTTAGCTAGAGCTCCGCAACATCTATAGGCCACTATATAGGTGAGTTTCAGGTACGATGCCGATGCCAGCGTGAAGCGCGTGGCCAACGGTGGGCGCCTTTCTGCTGATGCAATGTGCCACTGTTAGTTCTGATCTATTGCATGGATTTGGCAGACACGTCCATGTGGTCGAGTCCAGATAGATTCATTGTCCCTGTCTCAGCATCATGACAATGCTAGCGTGTGTCAACGCCGTAGGCCTATGGAAGACGGCCGGGGGTGCACCAAAGGTGCAGAAGGCTATCATGCCTTCTGTGAGCAAGCAACGCCCTCAGACCGTCCACTCAGTTACGCAATGCATCGGGAACTGACACCGCTGCAACTCCCTGAACCCTAAACCGCTAAACCCTAGCACAGCCTCCCTGGTTTCATGAGCTCAGGACTCTTCAGAAGTTTCGAGGAGGTTCCAAGGGCCCCGGAGCGCAGAAGCTCGCGCTTGAGGCACGTCTGCCGTGGCATTGCCGTAGGCTGTCTAGCACAAAGTGCTGCTAGAATGAACTGCAGCAACCTTTTCGGTGCTTCATTCGTTTTTCTCTGCCTCGCTCTAGAACTCCTATTAAGTTTACTACTTTAGACTGCTGCTGCTGCTCTTCCTGTTCCTGCCACTGTTGCAATGACGACAGCCACGACCACCATCACTGCTTGTGCGCTGCAGGTGCAGACCTTGCTGCGGTGATACTACAGCATACACCACCACAAGCGCCACCACTACCTCTACTGTAAAGATTGTGACGATGGGAAATTGAGTAGCAGCACCATGCCTCATCGCAGCCGTCTTCAGAATCCACTAGTAATCAGAATCGTGGCTGCAGCCAGTCAGGGTTTCTCAAGCATCATCCTTGCTAGTATAGGACTCGGAATACAGAGTAATCGTCTCCCTTATAGCCGCTATGGAATCCTGCGATGATTGGCCCGATGCTGTTGTAATTATTATGGGGCCCCTCTTTTTTTTGACCCCCCC